TCATACAGTACAGTTGCATTTGTTTCTTGCCTATCTTGGTCATGTAGAAGCGTATGGTAGGCCCAATTAATTCCTAAACCTAAGAACTAAAGATACAATAATGCTTTTTATTCGTACTAAAACAACTAGACAAACAAAGTAATCAAATGATAGAAACACCATTTCTACCTGGTTATTTTTCTTTCGTTTCATTAAGGGGTGGATGCAGTTGCTACACAAAATGTACGCTAAACAATCAAAAACACAAAAGACATGGTGACAGACTATTAATTTTTATTTATTTTTCTATCTGCTGGACTCCAAAAATTTAGTTAAATCTCACTCCAATTAGTACTAGCACCACGACTGGAAGTCCTTCACTAAAATTACCTCATCTATCATTATTTCCTGAGCAACATATTAACACCCTGTTTAGTTTGGATAAAATTAGATTTTTAATAGATTTTGATAAAAGTTGATGAAACATGTAGTTGAAAAGTTGATGAAATGTGCGCGTCGCTCATTCCAATTAGTACTAGCACCACGACTACAAAATTACTTGATGCAACAATGACTGATTTTTTTGTTCGTTGTCAAATTGGGGAAATCCCAATTTTTTGCCTATACGAATGTCAGTTTTCGTTAACTTCCCCTCTTCTTGTGTCTAAAGTAAAGTTGATAGAAGTTCACCACGAGTTATTAGCAGTGTGCAGGTACATATTAAATGGAATCTGACAGTTATTCCAAGCAGGTGACTGCATCATGATAATTTACTGATGCCACGAAAGTATAGGTTAGATTGTTAGCATACTCTAATTTACTCAAAGAAATGCACAATTCAGTGAAGCATAAAATTGATACGTGGACTCCCTAAAGTTAACACATTCATGAAAGAATTAAAACTTAAACCCCTCTTTGGTAGGAATTAAAATCAGATTTTTGCTAGATCTTGATAGAATCTAATGAAATGGACCCATAAAATATGTGGTTAAAATTAATTGTTGACTTTGACTTAGATTAAAATGTATATTTTAAGTGTTATGAAACCAGGGCCAAAAAAGATAAACAAATAAAAATAAATTGTATGATGAACAATTTTGAGAATCTTGCAAGAACTAACATTACTGTATTGATTCCAATAAAGAGAAGGGAACTCTAACATGTCGTATAGGGTCTCCAAAAAATCTGGGACACCAAACTACCATAGGATCCACTACTACAGCTAGAAGGGAGCAAAACAAATAGCTGATGAGTCGTTCTTTAAATTCATTATAAAGGTTTTCCAGTTTAGCGTTCAAAGGCCCATATATAATAAACAACAACAGAAATAACAGTCCACAAAAAGACCAACAAAATTCTCAAAATCTGACCAGTAATTCAATTAAGATAATCCCTATCACAGTAAAATCCACAGGCATACCATAAAAGATTAATTTAAAAAAAGCCAATAGAAAAATAAAAAAAATCAGGGTTTCAGTGAAGCTACATACCCCAAGCAACAGTGCACTCCTCGCTCGTAGCACTAGCTTGATTAGCCTGACATTCGATACCTGATTACACCAATAAAAGAATTAATTGAATAAGTTCATCATCAAAAGAAAAGGCAAATTGAAAGTTAAAAACTCACAGAGATCCATAATATGGTTCCTGCAAATTGCACAATTATCCACCACAATATCTGCATCATGAATTAGGATTAGCGTTTCTCCAAAACCTAAAATCGGAATATTATTTCATACATAAATAAACATGCGTGTGCGTGCGTGTTGTTAGTTTAGGGTTTATACCCCAAGCCCATAGCGCTACGGCGTTCCATTTCTTGATCTCGAATCGCTTGGCTTTCTTGGCTGATGAAGGCGGAGCAGCATTACCCGATGAAGGTCCGGCGCCGGAGGATCCCTCGCCAGCGGGAACCATAG